AATTAAAACATTATGGTACTGGCATAAAAAGAGATACATAGATGAATGGAACAGAACAGAGAGCTCAGAAATAAACCCACGCATGTGGTCAATTAATTTACAACTGAGTAGGCAAGAATATGCCTACTTCAATAAATGGTGTCAGGAAAACTGGACAGCTACATGCACAAGAATGAAACTGGGCACTACCTTACACCACACACAAAAACTAACTTGCAATGGATTACAGACTGGAATGTAAGATCTGAAACCATGAAACTCCTAGAAGAAGTTCCTTGACAGCAGTCTTGGTAATGATTGTTTGAATCTGACACCAAAAGCAACAGAACAAAAGCAAAAATAAACAAGTGATACAACACCAAACTAAAAATCTGCACAACAAAGGAAATGATCCACAAAATGAAAAGGCAACCTGCTGAATGAGAGAATGTAATTGCAAATCATGTATCTGCAAGGGGCTTGTGCCCAGAACTCACAGAGCCAACAGTGAAAAGACAGAGAAGCTGATTACATCATGGGCAGAGGACCTGAACAGATACTTTTCCCAAGAAGATCTCCAGATGGCCAAGAGACACATGAAAAGACGCTCCACATCACTCATCATCAGGGAAATGCAAATCAAAACCACAATGAGATACCACCTCACACTGGTGAGGATGGCTAAAATTAACCAGACAGGAAGGGGAAGCTGTTGGCGGGGATGCGGAGAAAGGGGACCCCTCTTACACGGCTGGTGCGAATGCAAGCTGGTGCAGCCCCTCTGGAAAACAGTGTGGAGTTTCCTCAGAAAGTTAAAAATAGAACTACCCTAGAACCCGCAATTGCGCTACTAGATATTTATCTGAAGAGGACAAAAATACTAATTCGGAAAGATATATGCACCCTTCATTGCAACATTACTCACAACAGCCAAGATATGGAAACTTTTTGTGTCCACCAGTGGATGAATGGGTATAGGAAAACGTGGGGTGTGTGTGTGTGTGTGTGTAAGTAATGGAGTATTACTCAGCCATAAAAAGAATGAAATCTTACCATTTGCAATGATGTGGATGGATGTCGAGGGCATTACGCTCAGTGAGATAAGGCAGAGAATGACAGACGCCATGTGGTCTCTCACACGTGGACGTGAGCTCCAACAACAGCAACAACAGAGCCGAACTTGTGGATGCGGACAACAGGTTGGTGGCTGCAAACGATGGGGGGGTATAGAGTGGGAGAAATGGGTCAACTGTCTTGTTTTGCTTAAATAAGTTGAATTTAAAAACACACGTACTGGATCATTGTTTTGAAAACTAGAAATTCTAGGAAAAGAGAATGTTTAAAAGCCCTAAATCCTAAATAAAGGGAGAGAAGAGAACCGTGTTCATGGACTAGAAGGCTGAAACTTGTGAAGATGTCAATTCTCCCCAAAACGATCACAGAAATTTCAAGAGAATGTTTTGTAGCCAGAGAGGGGCCGGCACAGAGGAACTAGAAGAGCTAAACAACTTTTAGAAAGAATGAGGTGGGGTGGGTGGGAGGCCCACATGGCGGCAGTGGTCAGCACAGACACAGGGGAGGTGGACGCAGAAGGGCCCAGAGACAGGCCCACACGAGTGGCCATCATGCCCGGGTGCACGAGAGTTCATACAGAAAGGACGCCTTCTCACCAACGGTACTGCATGAGAAGTGAGCCTTGACCTAAGCCGCGCGTCTCACCAAAGATCAGACGGACCGGAGCTCTAAACACACATCATGGAACTACAGCTTTTAGGAAAAGGGAATCTTCAAGACCTGGTGTTTAGAGAAAAGTTCCCAGCAGTGACATGAAAGGTGCCGTCCACAGGAGAACATACACTGGATTTCAGCAGGAATTTAAAATTTTGCTCTGTGAAATGCATCATTAACAAAATAAAAAGACAAGCTACAGACCTGGAGAAAAATTTGCAAACCACATACATGACAGAGGGATAGAGCTAGAATATATAAAGAACTTTTGGTATCTAAACGTGGTGTCTCTTCCGATCGGATGGCACCCCCCCAAATGTGGGGCCACCCAATAGGGCAGAAGCCGGTGGAGCAGGAGGGGAAAGAATTCACTCGAGCAGAACAAAGGAGATAAGAGTTTCTTGAATCCACGGCCAGGGGGCTGTGGGCAGGACCACAGAGGAGAGCCTGTGTGCCACGGGGCCGTGGCTGAGGGCTGTCTTTAAAGAGGGAGGCCGAGGAGGTATGACCATGTATGGGATTTTCCCTTGTTCGGTAACTGTGCCTGGTTGTAAGTAGCCCATTGGTCAGCAGATATTTTGGACATTTTGAGGTGGGTCTCCTGATGTGCTTGTCTGTGTTCAGCCAGGGGGTCGCTCAGCCTATTTGCCTGAAAGCCGCCTCTACAGAACTCCCTAAACTTAAAGGAAGAAATTGAACAATCCAATTCTAAAATGGGCAAAATGTGACACTTCGTCAAGGAGGATATACGTGTACAAATCAGCATGTGGAAGGGTGTCCAGCACCCCAGCCATGGGTGGGTGTTAAAACCATAATGAGGTTTCACTGTGCACCCATCAGATTGGCTAAAATTAAAAATCATGACATCAAAGGCCGGGGCTGCTGCAGAGAAGCTGGACCTCACTCAAACAGGCAGTTGGAATCCAGTTACACATGACTTGGCCATGCGCTCAGCCGTGTGTCCCTGGGTGAGTTGGGCACCGAGGTCCTCAGCGGGAAGCCCCCAGATGCCTTCGACAGGGGCAGGCCACGCAAACTGCGGCCTGTCTATACGGCCTGACTCAGGCCCCGAGGAGGGACTGGGGCGTCTGTGGTGGCTGCTGGGCCTCGCGCTTCGCCCTGCGTGGAGGAAGCCAGGCTCCACCCATCCCTGGGGCCTTCTCCCAGAGGCCTTCGGTGGTGGGGCTGGCGGGGGCAGGGCGCGACCCCGGGAGGGGTGCCGAGTGATTCTGACTGTGGGGGTGTTCTTGTGAGTTTCGACACAAACGGGGCGATTTCATTGTACGCTCACAACAACCAAACACAGCTGCACTAAGGTGCTGAACTCACCCTCCTCCCTGGACCACAGGCTAGTCGGGCCTCCTCTGGCCTCTGCTCTAGCCAAGCCCTGGGTCACCAGACTCCGACCTGCCCGGAACCTGAGCCCGGCGCCCGGCTTCCCGCTGGGGGAGGGTGGGGCTGGAGGGCAAAGTCTGCTTAGCCTCCGTGGAGTGGTGGCGGCCCACCTGGGCAGTCAGCGAGTGGAGCAGGTGGGGCAGGGGCAACCCCAGGCAGCAGATGAGGGGATGACCCTGGCTGGTGGGGGGGGGTTGAGTGTGACCCTAGGTAGTGGGGGATGACCCCCCGGCAGGGGCCTGAGCTCAACCCCCCTAAACCTCTGTTGGCCAGTCTGTGAACTAGGGGTGGGCAGAACCAGCTCACAGGGGATCATTTTCCCAGGCTCTGCCACCTGCCTGGTGAGGTCCAGGCAGAGGTGGGTGGTGACTAGCTGAGGGAGAGGCAGGAAAGCACTTGCCAGGTGCCTGAGGGACCGCAGCCTAGCTTTCTCCTGGTTGCAGCTATATCCAGCAGCCCAGGTGAGGGGCCTCTCCTAGCCTGAGGGGGGCTGTCCTGGTCTGAGGGGGGCTGTCCTGGTCTGAGGGGGGCTGTCCTGGTCTGAGGGGGGCTGTCCTGGTCT